TGGATGAGTTAAAGCCCTGAGGGGTGTGCTGAGGGGGAGGAGAGGAAGAGGAAAGAACAGCAGGTGTTAGGGAGGGCAGGAGGGAGAGAAATGCTCTCTGGCATGAGTGTACTTTTTCCAGTAGGCACAGGGACCTTAGCAGTCCCTGGTGTGGAGGCCCAAGGATCAGAAGTTCAAAGTCATCCTTGGTTACACAGGCAGCTTGATGCTTGAGACATGAAATCCTGCCAAAAGAGAGATGGTGCAGAGGAGTAGGAGAGATCAAAAAATAAAAAAAGAAAGGAAGAAAGAAAGAGGAAGCAAATACGGAGGTTGAAGGACGATGAGGTATACACGAAAGCCAAATCATGGAACCATATGGTATGCTTGTCATAGGAGGAATGGATAAAGAAAATGTGCAAAATATACAGCATGGCATTTTTTTTCAGGCACAAAGAAGAAAAGAAACCATGCCATTTTGGGAAAATGGGTGGAATGTGAAAAGATCTCAGAAAGTAAATATGACTTAATTCCATCCTACATTGCAGGCTGGAGAGATGGCTTGGTGGTGAAGAGTGCTTCCTAGCAACAAATCCTTGCTTCTGGATCTATTACGAAGTAGATTCATACAGTAAATGAAGCGGTGTCTCACTTGGACTTGAGCAGCCCAGGCCTTGGCTGCATCTCGATGATGCCTCTGCATTTCTCTTTGCTGTGTGTCCACTTTGAAGGCTGTTTGCTTTTGGTTTTCGGGTGCTGGAGCTGGTGTCTCACACCTGTAATCCCAGCACTTCCCGGGCTGAGGCAGGAGATTTGCTTCAAATTAGACGCTAGCCTGGACTACATAGTGAGTTCCAGATTAGCCTAAGCTGGTGTATGAATGAGATCCTGACTGTTAAAATAACTTTTATTTGCCAGATTTAATTGTCTTGGAGGCTTACTGCCTCTGCCTGCTAACCTAGGCTTAGTTCTGGGAGCTTCTATCCTTTGTACAATCTAACCTAGGCCTAGAATGTCTTCAGCCTCTGAGAGTTACTGCTAAATAAGCTCACATTTTCTAGTTCTTTCAGAACTCTGGCTGGCTGGTTCAACTCAGCTGTTCTGGCTCAAAATTCGTCACCAAGCTGACTGATTCAAATTGGCTTCTCTCAGCTTCTGATTGAATTGCTCTGCTTGGCCTCATACTAACTTTGGCAATATATTCTAATCTTCTGGCTTCTTATTCTTTGTCTTGTTCTGTATTCACTGGTGTCTAGCTTGTTCTCTCTTCAACCTCTCTCTATAAAACTCTCCTGGTAAAACTGCCTCTGAATTCCACAAACTGAACTGCCATGAGCTCAACTCCACCTCACTGCCTCTCAACTTACTGGCTCAACCTAACTGTCTGAACAGCCCTGACTAGAACACAGAGACCTGCATGCCTCTGTCTCCTAAGTGCTAGGATTAAAGGTGTGCACCACCACACCTGGACCTAAACTTTTCTTTACCTGAAACTTGCTCAGGTTTCTAGGCTGGCCTTGAACTCAAAGATCTGCTTGCCTCTGTCTCCTGAGATTAAAGGCATGTCTATATTCCAGCTGGATCACCCAGACCTAGAAGGTCTTTGGATGTGATCTCTTGCCAGAGCAGCCATGTTCTGAATTAAAATTCCTCTACACCTTGTAATCCAGGTTCATGGGACCCTCAGAGACCACCAGGAGACAACTCAATGCAAGAGCAAGAGCGCTGGATTATGAGAGGGATTGAACTCGGGACTCAAGTCTCACTGACACAGCAGTAGAGAAGTGGGACCCCGAACCCTGAGTGAGCAAAGATTTTAAAGGGAAAGTCTGTGAGCAGGGGGTTGCCATGGCAGCAAGCAGGGGTCACATGTTTCCATGACAGCCTATGAGGGGGGCACATGCCTTGACATTACAGGATTAGGTAAAAGTTAGAGGGGCAAGGTGACCTTCTCTGAATCACACTTACCTAAGGCATACAATCACAATTGCTATTCTTCTGAACTATATCTGAAACATTGGGGAGAATTTTCCCACCCGATTCCCAACCGATTCTCATTGATTATTGCCAGCGAGATTGTCTCCATTTTCTATGAAGTACTTATTCTGTGATATTTCCTGGAGGCTGTTGCTAGGAGAGTTAACTTTGTTTTCTGCCAAGTGTACATTCTGTGATATTTTCTGATACCTGAATTCAGCTCCCAGTCAAGATGGCTCGTTATTTCAAAATGGAGTTATACTCAGGCTAACTATACCCAGGCCATTAAACTCATTAAACCTGACTCAAGAGAGAGAAAAAAAATCTTCCTTTTAACAAAACAACTTAAGAGTCTGGAGAGATGGCCCAGTCGTTAACAACTTAAGAGTCTGGAGAGATGGCCCACTGGTTGCTCTTCGAGGGGCCGGTGGACAATTTCCAGCACCTACACAGCTGCTCACAACTCTTTTAACTACAGTTCCAGGGTATCAGACACCCTCATACAAACATAAATGCAGGCAAAACACCATTGCATATAAAATAAAAATAAATTACAAAAAGATAAAAAGCCAACTTAAGCACTGTCTTTCTATGTTAAAGCAAACCCAAGAAGTTCTTAAAATAGTAATTCCTGAAATTCAGCAAAAAAACAAATTGTGTTATTTTTAAGGTGAACCACTTAGAACAACGGCCAAGTCAAAAATAGAATTTGCCAGCCACCCAGACATTCCTGTTAGCTCACCCAGCCTCAACTCTTCTTTCCACTAAAATTAACTAGGGACAGACTTCCCTCATAGTATCCTCAGACTCCTCTTCTATGTATTTGTGTAGGGGATAGAATTTGGAGCCTTGTTCATACCATATCCCTAGCCCCTTCCTGGGAGATTACAGGAGGGGTGCTCTGCCACTGAGCCACACCCCAGGCCCTCACTGGGGGATTCTAGGCAGGGGCTCTACCACTGAGCCTCATCCCAGCCCCTCACTGGGGGATTCTAGGCAGGGGCTCTATCAGTAACCCACATCCATACTCCTCACTGCTGGATTCTAGGCTTCTGGTCCAATCCTGAGCCCTGCCTCCACCCACAGTGTTTCTTCTCTCTGTGGAGGCAGGGAATAAGCAATGGAGTGTCCCTTCCCCATGGCTTTGCCAGCAGTATCATTCTGGGTTCAGGTGACAAGACAAATGGGATCTCAGGGAAATCTTTACCTTCTTTCCTTCCTTCTCCCTCTTTTTTTTCCCCCCTTTTGAGACAGTGTCTCACTGTGTAGCCCTGGCTGGCCTGGAATTCCCCCTGTGGAGTAGACTGACCTTGAACCTTGAATTCACAGATATCTGCCTAAGATTAAAGGCATACAACTGCACCTTCCTCCTTTAAAAATATTTTTAAATTATGTGTATGTGTGTTTATTTGTGTGTGGTCACTGCACAAGAGTACAGGTGACTACAGAGTCTAGAAGATGGCACTGGACTTCCAGGAAATGAAGTGACAGTGACAGGCAGTGTGAGCCATTCAGTATGAGTGCTCAGAACCCAACTGGGGTCCTCTGTAAGAGCACTGCCCACTCTTATATGCTAGGCCATTTCTTTTCTTTCTCCCTATTTCTCTTTCTTTTACAAGTCTCTGTATCTCAGACTTGCCCTTAACTCAGGGCTCTCCTGCCTCAATCTTCCTAGATCTGGGATGCTAGGATTGCAGACACTTCCATGCGCAGCTAAACAGGTGATTCTTTCATCATGCATAAGTATGTACTTACACAGAATATTTACATATCTTTGTGTGTGAATTGTCATGTATATTCCCTCCCCCCCCGTTTTTAGTCGGGGTTTCCTTGTATAGCTCTGGCTGTCCTGGAACTCAATTATAGACCAGGCTGGCCTCGGATTTGGAGATCCACCTATCTCTGCCTCCCAATTGCTGGGATTAAAGGGATTAAAGGTGAGTGCCACCCCCTCCCAGCCATCTTGCCTGCTTTTCACAGGTTTCTTCATGATTCCCTTCATTTACTTTAAATTTGCTATTACTATTGTTATTGTTTGAGATTTTTTTATAGACAGTGTCCACGTAGGCCAGGGTGGCCTCAAACTTCTGATTCTGTCGCCTCTTCCTCTGAGTGCTGAAATTATAGGTGGGTGTGCAGCACCATGTCTGGCTCCTCTTTTTAGAAGTCGGTATCTCTCCCCCCCTCCCGTTCTCTCTCCCTTTCTCTGTGTGTGTGTATGTGTTTCTCTCTGTGTGTTTGTGTATCTCTGTGTTTCTGTGTGTGTATCTGTTTCTCATTGTGTGTCTATGTGTTTCTCTCTCTGTGTGTGTATCTCTGTGTGTGTCTATGTGTTTCTCTCTCTGTGTTTGTATCTCTGTGTTCCTCTGTGTGTGTCTATGTGTTCCTCTGTGTGTGTCTATGTGTTTCTCTCTGTGTTTGTATCTCTGTGTTCCTCTGTGTGTGTCTATGTGTTTCTCTGTGTGTATGTATCTTTGTTCCTCTGTGTGAGTCTATGTGTTTCTCTCTCTGTGTATCTCTGTGTTTCTCTCTGTGTGTTTGTGTATCTCTGTGTTTCTTTGTGTGTGTGTATCTCTGTTTCTCATTGTGTGTCTATGTGTTTCTCTCTGTGTGTGTATCTCTGTGTTCCTCTCTGTGTGTGATGTTTCTCTATGTGTGTCTATGTGTTTCTTTCTTTGTGTGTGTGTATCTCTGTGTTTCTCTGTGTGTGTCTATGTGTTTCTCTCTCTGTGTGTATCTCTGTGTGTGTATCTCTGTGCTTCTCTGTGTGTGTCTATGTGTTTCTCTCTGTATGTGTGTGTATATGTGCCTCATCCCATGTGTGGAGCTCAGAGGACAACTTCCTGGCTTGTGCTTTTCCTCCTCCACGTGCCAAAGCTGTCTGGCTTGGCTGCAAGCTCCTTCATCTGCTGAGCCATCACTGCCCCGTTTATATTGCTTTAATGCCTGGCAGACCTACCTTGTTTGTTGTTGTTTTTTAATTTGTTTTAATTTTCCCCATGATTTTCCTATTGAACTTACAAAAAAAAAATTCATAGCAGAGTTGTCTGGTTCTAGGAACAATGAAAAACATCAGAACATTGTTAATCCCATTTCCTCCTTTTTTCTCACTTTCAGGAATGGGAGATGGGGGTGGGAAGGGGATGGGGGTGGGAAAGGGATGGGTGGGGAACAGGCAACTGTGACCATCTGCTCTTCTTCCTCCTCTCCTGCTCCTCCTTTCTGCTTCAAGATATCTGTGATGGGATGGAGATGGGTTTGTGAACGCACACTTCGGGGCAAGGAACACGGTTCTCTTTGCTTTTCTCCTTGGACTCCTGTTGCCCCCTGGTGAGCACTGTGTGCAGCAGCAGATTTCCAGATTTAAACGTGAAGACTCCCATTGGGCCAGCCAGTAAACACTGTCTCACCCATTTTAAGGGGGTCAGGCAATCACGTAGCTTATTCATGTTGTTCTGGCTCAAAGACGCTGTCTATCTCCCCAGTCAGACAGCTTGGGTTCTCAAGATGCCATAGGAGGGTCTTGTTCCACACCTGGAAGACAGCGCTGGCTCTGTCAGAGGCCTCAGCTGTGCCAGTGAAGCGTTCCCCCTAGCAGCCCAGTGGTGCTGTCTGCTTCTGCCAGAGCAGGTGAACCGACACGAAGTAAGTAAACCGTTTAATTTTAAAATGCTGCCTGGGTGGAGTGTGTTTGCTTTCATAAAATATACCACGAAGTCTCTATAATTTCCCAGGGCAAACTGATCAAACCTGGTAGTCTAATAAGGGATCTCCCTTCAGCAACCTACAGGTCGGTAGCATGGGAACAGAGTGCCTAGGCTCACAGTGCAGCCCGTGGTCATGTCCACCTTGTAGGTGGTTCTTCCTCTCTCCAAGGTAGTGGGGTTGGGCTGGGGAAACCCTCTAGCGCAGACTAGAGAGGTAATTTCATTTTAGAATGATTTTACTTTGATTCGTGATCCCCACCCTGTGCGTGCGCATGCGCAGGAGCTTGGCAGGCAGGAGGAGTGCCCTAGAGCTGCGGTTACAGGTGGCTGGTTGTCAGCTGCCCAACACAGGTCTTGGGAGCTAAACGCGGGTCCTTCTCGGGTCTGTCGGAAGATCAGCAAGTGCTTTTAACTGCTGAACCCTCTCTCCTGCTAACATCATGATTGAAAAGAAAGTTGCAGGTTTGCTCTGCAAGGACACACTGACGTGCACTGTTTGCTGAACAGCCTCACCCTTCTCAGACCACAAGCCTGGGAACCTAGGCTCCCTCTGCCGCCCTTCCGCTCAGTCACAGGCTTCGGCAACTCTACTAACCAAGCAGCTTAAATCAGGTAGAGCAAGATTTGCACAGCAAAGACAGGTGTATGGGAGAGTGTGCTCCTCTGGGCAGATCTCAGGCCGGCAGTTAGCATTAGGCTCCAGGGCATCAGCCCAGCCTCCAGCAATTCCCCTTTTGTCTGAGTAAAGAGGCTCTTCCTCTCACAAGAACACTGTACTGACCCCGCACAGGGCGAACAAGTGTGAAACAATTATGAAAAGTATACAGTAATTACATTAACGATGTCCAGACAACTTAGGAGTAAGCACTCTACTGTCTGTCCTATTTTGCTGAGTTCAGGGTTCTGTACCCCAGTGATTTTCTCTCATAACTTGTATTTAACAACCTAAAGATTCTACTTAGACCTAAAAATGTCTCTTTAAAACATTTTCTAAATCCTAAACAACTTAAGCCTAATTGTGACACTAAACTATTCAACCCTATCATAGATTTGAGAAGGAAATAATATTACCGTAGTATGTAGGAAGTGCCAGCAAGCAGCCTTCAAAGTAGAGAATTGACAGACAGCTGGCTGCCTAGACAGTCACCCAAAATTCCTGTATAATGTTGGAGCACCTATCTTCAGCATTCTGGCCAGGTGTATCTGAGAGACATAACTGTGTAGCAGGAATTATGAAGGATTTGCTCACCTTGTCTTGACAGAGCTTGGCAGTCAACTTTGCCTGCATCCAAATTTTATCTATTTTGGACAGCATTCTATCTGCAGTTGAAGCGAAGGCATTTCCTTGCTCAGTGGCAGCTTGCCACTTTCGGAGCCATTTTCTAAAGGAAGTTCTTCGATGCTCAACATCTTCTTGCAAGTCGAATAGGATGCTGCCTGGAGCTGACATGTCTCATAGCCAGAAACACCTTAAAATAAAACAAAATAAAAATCTTTAAATGCTATTTTCTGTAGGTCTCTGAGGGTTTTGAAGACCCTCTAACTCTATATACATTTAAAGAATGCATAATCAGTATTTATCTATCTATAGTAAATCTGAATAGGCAAACATTTGTTTCTAGCTTTCTTTCTCTGTTCTCTGTTAGATGGGGGCCTAGATCTTGGCTGGGGTCCTGGAACTTGGCTTCCAGAAAGAGAATGGGGGTTCCGTTTCTCTCAGGGACAGCTAGAGTACTTTACAGTGGGGGCCCATGTGTTAAAAATAATGTGCACCACAGATATTAAGAGGTTATCGATGGAGATGCAGAGAGAGAGAGAGAAGGAGACATGATAGGGGGTTGCCCCGATGGAGAAAGGGGAGACAGCAGGAAAGAGGGGTAAGAACAAGAGAGCCCAAGAGAGAGGTAAGAGGCAGGGGTCCATTTATAGCTCCCGTGCAGCTGAACTGTGCCTGCCAGGTGTGCCTAGCTGGCCAGCAACACATGATAACATTATAAGTTACTAGGTAACCGAGAAACAGGCTGTTAGCCTAAATGCTAACACCATGTGCTAAGATAGGTTGTAGAAAAGGTTTTCCATGGAGCGTTACAGTTTAGCTCTGGTGGTATTCCAGCCTATGGCGATACCAAAGTTTTTTTTATAGCCTTGGTTAAGCTGTTGTTCTCCTCTGGGCAGCAACCAGATCTTGAGGGCCAGCAATTAGCATAGCACCAGACCAACCCCTCACAGTAGAAGATAAGCTTGCATGCAACACTGTCCAGGAAATACTGCAGCCCAAAGGCTGCCGTGCTCTGTGGGACTCCTGCACACGGAATCCACAGGATACCGGCCAACACAAGACAGTCAGCTTAGTTGGTTATTTGTTCCTGTGCTCTCAATCCATGTGTCTTATTTCTATTTCTGTCAAGAGATACCATCACCATGGCAACTCTTATAAAGGAAAAAAAAACCCACTTTTTTATTTTTTTCCTTTTCTTTTTGAATTTCTCTATGTAGCCCTGGCTGTCAAAGAACTCACTCTGTAGACCAGGCTGGCCTCAAACTCAAATCCACCTGCCTCTGCCTCTCCAATGCTTTGAGAGGTGTGTGCTACCACACCTAGATTATAAAGGAAAATATTTAATTGGGGTTGGCGTATAGGTTCAGAGGCTTAGTCCATTGTCATCATGGTAGGAGGCGTGGCAGAAGACATTGCTGGAGAGTGGTTGGTGCACTGTGTGTTCAGATGCTGATTTCTGTCTCCAGAGACCTGGTTGCAGTCAGATGGGAGCATTGTCATTATTACTGAGGCATATCCTGTGTTAGTGTGGTGTAAAAATTGTTCCCCGTCACCTCTGATTGGTTAATACAGAGCTGAACAGCCTATAGCTGGGAGGAGAGTTAAGGCAGAACTTGCAATCCCAGGAGGAGGGTTCCCAGGTGGAAAGAGGGGGGTCACCATGAGGAGGTCGCCATGAGAAAGTTGCCATGAGGATGCCAATGGCGCAGGAGCAGCCAGGGCAAGATTAAGATGGCAGGTGATAAGACACATAGCTGGGAAGTAGGCCAGGCCAGCATAGCTGGGTTAGAGTAGATGAGTATCTGCCCAGCTATAGCACTTAGAGCTTAATAATAAATGGAATAGTTCTCTGTGGCATTATTTGGGAGCTAGGGCGGCCATAGAAAAAGCCCCTGATTTTACAAGACATGGTGATGAAGAAGGAGCTGAGAGTTTTAAATTTGGATCTGCAGGTAGCAGGAAGAGACCGTCATCAGCCACTGGGTTGGCTTGAGATCTGAGCAAAGCCCTCCCCCAGTGACACACTTTCTTCGGCAAAACAGCACCTGTTCCAGCACAGCCACGCCTCCTAATAGTGCCATTTTCTGAGCCCATAGGTGCCATTTTCTTTCAAACCACAAACCATGTCTTCTAAAAGGAAAGTAGACAGAGTTAGAATCCCCAGTCTGGTGAGGATGGCCACACCCACCACCCCATCTGCCGACCCCATCCATCGGTGACTGGTGACTGTGCCCAGCTCCAGCATCTGGAGACAGAGGGAGGCAACATGTGAGTTTCTCTGGATTGTATGAAACAGAATTGTCACTGTAATTTCTATTTTTACAGCTAAATTATTTTTTAAAAGATTTTATTTATTTTATGTGTATGAGTGCTTTATCTGTATGTACACCAGCATAAGAGGGCATCAGATCTCAGGGTAGATGGTTGTGAGCTACCATGAGGTTGCTGAGAATTGAACTCAGGACCTCTGGAAGAACAGACAATGCTCTTAACCACTGAGCCATTTTCCACCCCCGCTAAATTATTTTAAAACAGTTTTATGTGTGTGGGTGTTTTTGCCTGTATGTATATAGTTACAGAAATAAGCTTTATTTAGTCTCTTCTATATGTTACCAAAATTGAGCAGATAGTAGAATGCAAGAAACAAGCAATGTCTCTTCTAATATACTATAGATAGATAGACGGTCTTCAAACACTTCAGAGATCTAGGGAATATGGCATTTAAAGACGTGTTCATAATAAAAGGCTTTTCTGGCAAAGGACACATCTGCTCCTGGCAGCGTGCCTATTCTACTCCAAAGAAGATGATGGAGACCAAAGAACCTCCACTTGGGAGTTTACTTCAAACATGGAAAAACAGCCACTGGTCAAAAACACTGCCCTTACCTTGACTGCTGACAGCAAATTGTCCAAGCTGTTGACAAGCAGGACACTGAAAAAGTGACTGTTCAAATATGCACAATCAAGGTAGGACAGTCCTTAAAAATTCCTGCTTCACAGATAAATCTGTTAGATATTCTGGGCCTTAGGCTGAAGACTTGGGTGCCCCAAGGACACAGAGAAACCTCTGATGATGGTCCAGGCAGTCAGCAACCTCTATAGTTTTTCTATTGTTTTAGAAGCTTTGCTTGCTCTTTACTTCCTGTTTTCTCAGGTAATATTCATACTTTACATCTTATTTTTAAATCTATTTATTATTTATTATATATAATGTCTTCTGCCTGCATGTGTGCCTGCACACCAGAAGAGGGCACCAGATCTCACTATAGATGGTTATGAGCCACCATGTGATTGCTGGGAATTGAACAACCAGTACTCTTGACTTCTAAGCCATCCCTCTAGCCTCCGTATATTTATACTTCTCAAGTCTCTGATGGGGTTAAAGAGTAGATAGTTATAGTTTTACAGTTTTCCTTATTAATAATAAAAACAAGATCTAAGAAAACGTTCTAGGCTCTAAAAGATGTTTCTAGGTTGATAAATGCAAGTTACCAGAAAGTGATTTAGGTACAGAACTTTGGACTCACCAGGACAGGATATAGTGAAATTCTTTTTCCAAGGTTGCCAAATACAAATGAACTAGACATTGTAACTGTAATCCTTACCTGATAATTTTTATAATTATTATTATATATAGCTTATTAATGTTAAGGGAAAGGCCTTTTTCTTTTAGACTAAATGGGGAAAATGTAATAGAAGTTAAATTTTGAGGACTCTGGGAGGATATAAATGCCAGAGAAAGGCGCACCCCCACACTGCTCCTTATTCCATCAGTTACTGAGATTGAAAACGTTTGAATATGATGGTGGACTTGGCAGTCATTCCTTACCGCTCTGTTTTGAAGCTGTATAATTAGAAGTATACTCTGAGTTCATTTTAGGTTTTAAGCAGGGTTTCACTCTATAGTCCTAGGGGCCCTCAGTCTCACAGACTGGCTGCGCCTTCCCATTGCTGGGATTAAAGGTGGGTGCTACCCACACCCACCAAAGTTTGTTTCCATTTGATTTATTTGCCCTCTTTTTTTTTTTTTTATCACTGGCCATGTTGTTTGTCCCCCAATCTGTCTTCATTTTAAATCGACTTGTGTGTTCTTTTGAGGGGGCTGGAGAGATGGCTCAGTGGTTAAGAGTATTTTGAGGATGGCCACTTTAACATGCAAGAAAACTTATCTTTAACATTTTAATACATAGTTGGGTCTGACTTACTTCAAATCTAATCTGACTAAACTTTAGGCGTTTAGATCGTTTACAAAACATTTAATATGATCAGTGGTCTTAGTAGGAACGTCTATTATCTTGACACTTGTTTTCCATCATGTTTTGGAATAAAAATAGTTTTGTTTAAAATACAAGAAACAGCCAGGTGTGGTGACACACACCTCTAATCCCAGCACTCAGGAAGGCAGCAGAAGGTATATTTCGGTGAGTTTGAGAACTGCCTGGTCTACAGGGTGAGTTCCAGGACAGCCAGGGCTACACAGGGAAACCCTATCTCGAAAAAAATAAAAAATAAATAAATAAATATAAGAAACACAAAAGTTATTTTGCAAGTTATATATAGTGTCATGTTACAACAAACATAGGTTTTTCCTACAGAAAAGAAGCGTGCATTTGTGTTTGTTTAGGATACTTTACCTGCTAATCATTCATCCTGCAACATGAGGTAAATGACCGTCTAATGAACACAGTTCTGCTGATACATATCCATGTGGTCCTCAGACACATCTTCCCGTCTGGATAACGGGGACACTGAACCCTGGGGGGTCCAGAACATCTGGCTCTGAAGTCTCTGATGTAAACTACCCACGTTTGAACCGACCAGTTCTTCAGTTCCGTCTTCTCAAATCTGTCACAGTCTCTAACTTCGCAGAACCCGGGAGTACCTTTTCCTCAGCGGAGGGCTCCGCCCCTTTAAGCGCGCACCCCCGTGGGAACTCCCACAATCCTCTGGGCGCAGCTCCCAGACGGGCGGGCCTAAGCTGCTAAGATCTCCCTGAACTGCAGAGTGCTGGGCTTCCTGGACTTCTGGACATCCGGACTTTATTTCCCAGGGTCTACCGCGCCGGAAGTAAAATAGCAACTTCCGGAATCCTGCAGGAGCTACCGCGGACGGTCAAATCTGTCAGGTGGAATTAAGAAACTAGTGTTGGCGAAGTAAGGCGGGAGCCAGCGGGCTGGGCGTGGGCGTGGACGGTGGGGTGGGGCGGGCGGGTGTCGATTTTGTGTGTGTGTGTCTGTCTGTCTGTGCACATCTTGACCTCTGCATCACCTGTGTCACTGAGCGTGTCGCCTTCTGCTCCTGCTCTCACGGCCACAGGGGCGGAAGCAGAGGACCAGGCTTCGGGAAGGAGAGGTCGGGGACGGAGTCTGACGGAAGCTTCCCCTGAGGTACAGACTTGAGCGGGGGACGAGCCTCTGAGGCCGGAAGTGCCTGCGAGGGTCGCCTAGGAGGGCAGCTGCTTGCGGAGCGCCGAGGCCCTGGGAGAGCTCCAGGCGCTGAGGGGTTGTGGGGAGTGAGGGAGAGCGCGCACTGAGGATGCTCTCAGAAGAGTCTGGGATCTCCTGCCTGCTCGGGCGCCCGAGTCGGCCATTATTCCAAAGGAGGGCTGGGGAAGGATGAGGTCATCATTGCTGCTCATGTAAGAGTCAGGAGCGAGTTTGCGCTTTCTTTATGTTTGAGAAACGAGGTTTCAGTTTAATAATATAGAGTTGTCAGTAAACGAAGGAGGAACGTGCAAATTGATAACTCCACCGTTTTGGCCCTTACATTCTTCCTTCCCATTGCACAAAATAATCACGTAATCTTTTCAGTGACCCTTGACATCTCTCTACAATCAGTCCCTTTTCCCAAGATGTTGTAGAACTTCATTCGCGATTCTCTTTGTCCATTCGTCTCTTGGTGGGGTTGCACATCACGCCCATGTAAATAATGCTGGAGTGAATGTGGGAGTGTACATCTCTCTCGCAGATACTGACGTTCTTTCCTTTTTTTCTCTACTCAGTAGTGGAATCCGTGGATCAGGTGTGCATTATATTTGAATTCTTTGAGAATCTGCCTCATTGTTTTCTACAGTGACTGTGTTGATTTACATTTCCTCCTCTTTGCTGATGGCTGCCCCCGTGTTGGTCCACAGGTTGATGCACTAGCTCACTTCTAGGCTACTTAGCAACCTGAGGTCATCACTTCCTACCCCCAGGTGTATGCACACCAGATATAAAGGACTGGCCTGTCACTGCGTGCGCTTTCTGCTTTGGTTTCTCTCCCCGTCTCTCTCCCTCTCTCTCTGTCCGTTTCTCTGATTCTGTCTCCCTCCCCACTCTGTATTCTTCTCGTCTAAAATCTCCCACTCTCTGTCTTCCCTTTCCTTCCTTCCACCACAACCTGGTTTGAGGTGTGTAATTTATATCATAACACCCTGCTGCAACGTCTTAGTTCTGAGGGCTGTGTGTGCTGCTCAGATCTTGTGAGGAGAGGTTGATTGCTGCTAAATGCAGTACAGAGCACAAGACAGTCCTTCCACACACCCCAGACAGAGTAATAATGCCAGCAGTGCTGAGGTTGAGGAACCCCATTCTAGACTCAAAATCCTAGGACACTTGAAATGAATTTAAAATCACTAAAGTGGGTGCAGAATGCTGCACAGTGCCTGAGCGTTGCAGCTGCAGCCCTCCAGCCTCGCTGTGCTCCAGCCCTAAGTGTGGAGAGGACTTGCCATTTGGGTGCTGTAACCCCGTCAGCCTTGGTGGGTGGCTTCCAGTAGGAAGATGTCCTCAGGGTAGGAGGAGAGGCCCAGTTCTAGGGCTGGCTGCATCTCAGGATGGAAGATGGGATGCCCTCTGCTGGCATCTCCTGGAGGGACGTCAAGGCAGACCCGCTTATGTTGGGCACTCGCACACTGACCCCTTGTGCATTGGCTGTCTGGGGTGAGGAGAGGGTCAGCTTCGTGTGACTCCTGTCTGCTTCTAATGTGTGTGAGGGAGGCTGTGAGCAGTGGGAGGGGCAAGTGGGTGGGGATGCTTGAGAGAGAAAAGTAGTGGATGAAATCGTCCTGACATAAGTCAGGCTGGGAACATCAGGTCACAGTCCACCCAAAGGCTTTCTTTCTGTCCCCAGGGGAGGAAGCTGAGGAAGAATGGCCAGCTCTAAGTCTCAAGACATGGTCTGTGTAAGTTGGATTTTCTCTATTGACATAAGGTGACTTTCAGGTTAGGTGACTCCCTCCCGTCTTGCTCTGTGAAGCTTCCCAAGGATCTGAAATCCTCCTTCACAGTCTGCTCCTTCATAGTGAGGGCTGGAAGGTCAGGGCACTTCCTGTTTGTGCCTCTTTTCCAGCTGACACTGGGGTTCTCTTGGAATGCATTCCTCCACATCTGCTCTCTGCTTGCTCTGTGCTCAGGGAGGACTGTAGTTTCAGTGGAGGCGTCCTTCCCACAGGGAAACAGGCTGTGGGGTTCAGAACTGTGAGGTGATGGTCTCATGTGACTGCCCTGGGAAACATGACTGACATTTCCAGTGTTCTCAGGCTGATGAGAGTGTGTGAGAGTGAATGTCCTCAGTGCATGTGTGTGACAAGGTGACCTGCTTGGGAGGCTTAGGAGAGAGTTCAGTGATCAGAGGGGAAGGTCATCCAGGCTGTGATAGGAAGGTGATCGTGGTCTCCAGAGTTAGGGAGGACCTAGACACACTGACACCTTCCAAGTTTTGTTTGTTTGTGTAATGGTAAAAGATTAAACCCAATACACACACAATTTGGACTCTCACATAGTATGTAAAATCATTCTCATGACAAAAAAATCTTAATGATATAATGTGATACCATAATAAGCTCAAGGTCTCACAGTATGACGTAGGCATTCTACACTGAACCGGGTGGCATTTCTCTTTTGTGGTACAACTTGAAGGATGCGGGTGGATGGAAATGCACATGTTTTGGATGTGTAGGTGGGCACAGTCATGGTTTTGGGGGGAGCTCGTGCAGGCAGGTGTCTTGAGCATTTCCATGTGGCTCCTTTCCCACTCTTGAGTCCTTTCCCTGCTGTTTTCCATCTTGAAAGCTTCCCCAGTTTCACTCTGCTTGTGTTTGTGGTTCCAGGGTTCAGTGACATTTAGGGATGTGGCTGTTGACTTCTCTCAGGAGGAGTGGGCCTGCCTGGATGCTCCTCAGAGGGTGTTATACAGGGACATGATGTTGGAGATCTACAGCCACCTCGTCACAGTGGGTAAGGCCGTCTGTCCCCATGAATGGGGGATGTGTCCTCTACACTGTTGGCTTTGCTCACTGTGATTTCAAAGCCATGGCCATCTTTCAAAGTTTAGTTGACGCTTGGTTTGGTGTCTCATACCTGTCATTGCTTCACTCAGAAGGCTGCGGCAAGAAGATTGCTGCGAGTTCCCGGTCACTAGATACACAGGAAGTCCCAGGCTGGCCTAGCCAACACGGTGAGGCTCTGCTCCAAACAAAACGAAGTATAGGAAATAAATAAGTAAGTAAATCAGTAAATATAATTAGGGGCTAGAAAGATGACGTGGTTAAGAGAACTGGTTGTTCTTGCAGAGCATCTGGGTTCAATTCTTACCACTAGAAGGTGGTTCAAAACCATCTGTAACTCCAGCTCCAGGGGATTTGATTCCCTCTTCTGGCCTCCATGGGCACCATGTAGGCATACATGCAGACGGACACCCACATATGCAGAAAATAAAATAAATTTAAATCAATAGACTTTTAAAAGAGTTTGCTGATCTCTTCCTTCTTCCCACAGCAATAATTTGAGATTTCTTGGGTTTGAATAGAAGTTTCATGAAACACCTACCTCTTGCTTCTCTGCTGTAGATCCCTTCATTGAGCTCTGGGTTCAGTGAGAGACCCTGTCTGAAAACATACAGTGGGGAGCAATAAAAGAAGACCCCTGACGTCGGTCTTTGTGTTATACACACAAGAGTGCATTCATACCTACACACACTTGTGCACAAACCCTTGTGAATTCTACATACATTGTACACGCATGCCTACAGAACTAAATAAAAGAACCTTTATGACTTACTTACTAATGGATTAACAGGATTGATCTAAAACAAAGGTGGACACATTATATTCTCAATGAACGCTTTACCTCCTTTAGGCTATGAAGTTTGTTGTTTTCATTGAGAATGGGCTGTAAATGTGAAAGAAGGCAGCATAAATAACAATAACGATAACAGTTTTCATGGCTGGGGATGCAACTCAGTGGTAGAACGCTTGCCCACAGTGCTCAAGGCCCTAGTTTTATCCCTAGGATTAATAAATAAGTAAATGGAAATGAGAAAAAAAAAAAAGATTCTGTTATAAGTATTCAGTACTCAAAGTGTTTGAATAGAATACTTAATCTTAGTGTCAACTCTATTCAATAGATATCATAAACTCATCTAAGTTATTATCATTTATTACTATTATTATCATTATCATTATTATTATTATTATTTTATTATTTGGGTTTTATGATGCCGGGTCTCATGTAGGATAGGCTGGCCTTGGACTTGCTCTGAAGCTAAATCTGGTATTGATCTTCTCATCTGCCTGCTTTCACTCTTCAAGTGTTGTGACTGTGTGTGTGTGCCGCCATGCTGAGTTCTTCGATGGGAAATTGAGCAGACTCTTATGGGACCTACCAAGTTAATAGCATTAGTGGTGAGCTTCAGACAGTGGCCTAAGGGCTCTCACCCACGCAACTACACTTTTCTCTTAAGCGGCAAGCTTGTGCCTATCTGCATTTAAAGGAGAATAAAACCCTTTTCTGAAACAGCTGCTTTCTTACCCAGGTTTTTTTCCTTCTCCTCTGAAGTTTTCCTAATCATTGTTTTGGCTCATAGAAATTTTTATGTTTTTTTTTTTTTTTTTTTTTTTTTTTTTTTTTTGAGACAAGGGTCTTGCTGTGCAGCTCATGCTGGCCTGGCTCACTTACCCACCATCTGGGTTACAGCGTGATCCACCAAACCAAGCTGAATAGACCTTTATAATAATTAAGTTTGTATTTTTAAAAGTCTGCACTGGGGGTCATGGTGGAACACACTTTGTTGTCATTGTTGTTGTTTGTTTGTTTTTGAGACAGGGTTTCTCTGTGTAGCCTGGCTGTCCTGGAACCCACTCTGTAGACCAGGCTGGCCTCAAGCTCACAGACGTCTGCCCAAGTGCTGGGATTAAAGGTGTGTGCCACCACTGCCCAGCTTTAGTGGCACACATTTAATCTCAGCATTTGGGAGGCAGAGGTAGGCAACTGAAGGTAAGCCTGGTCCATATGTCAAGTTTCAGTTCATCCTGGGCTATTTAGAGAGACAGAGTTTCAAAAAAAAAAAAAAAGTCTACACTATGAGCCATTTTTTTCTCTTTGAAGTAGGAAGTTCGATTTGCAAACCAGATCTGATCACCTTATTGGAGCAGGAGAGAGAGCCCTGGATGGTTGTGAAGGACAAAACAGACAGGCCGAGCCCAGGTGAGTAAGTGTAAGGTGAGACTCCAGCATTGCCAGGCACAGCATGTGGTCAGAGGCCCCACATAGCTGACCCTGGATTTCACAAACTTCGCTCAAAGCTCCAGGGCCTGTGGAAAACATGCCTGAGCCCTGGGAAGGAAGTCGAAGGGCTTCTGTTTCAGGAATCACTTGAAGTTGTTCTTGTTTTCCTCCCTCTCACCAGAGCAGGTAAGAGTATTTTATTACTGGTTGTGTTTGTGCACACTTGTGTGCAGGTGTCCGAAGAGGCCATAAGAGAGTGTCAGGTCCTTTCTTAGAGTGGCTGCTGCTACTCTAAGCCAGGTCCTCTGGAAGAGCAGTCAGTGCTCTTGACCACTAAACCAATGACAAGACAGCTTGAACACAGTGAGGCATACCAAATATTTTAATTCTGAGTCTTCGTAGAAGGTTCTTACCTTCTGAGGAACTACATTACTCCTTGGCCTTGGTGTCAGGTTCAAGTCAGGGTGAGGGAGTTCTTTCCCTGGTCCTTTTACTCCATATTTACCTCTTTTTTGTTTATTGCTAGTAAACAGTCAGGGATTGGATGGGAGGCGGCATTATCATCAGTCTACCTCTTGCTGAATGGGGCCGGTGAAGTCCTTGGGGCCAGTTTGATCTTTGCTGTCAGGGTATAACTGGGTGCTGCAGGCCTCCTGTTGCATAGTTAGGGCCAGTAATCCTGTAAGAGCAACTGATTAAAAGTCTAGTTGGAAATCTTTTGGATCTGCTGTTGAAGAAATCTAGACAAGAAGTTTAAGAGGCAGGTGTGACTTGGAGGGTTAGGAGGAGGAGGAGGAGGGAGCTTAAGAGTGGTAATAGTCAGTTAATAACTCACTTCCTGAAGTGGCCAGAGGCCTCCAGCTCTTTCTTAACATTTTTGGGAGCTCCATCTGGAGTCCTCAATGTAGAGGAACAAGTTAGAAGAGTCATTGTATCCAGAGTAAACAGGATGGTGTTGTTTTCTAGTGTAGAGGAACAAGTTAGTAGAGTCATTGTATCTAGGTAAATAGGATGATGTTGTTTTCTGCAAGTTCTTAGACCTTGAAGAAAACTGTAGAAAACGGTGATTGTTTTCTGTGATTTATAGAATTATTTTTCCGAAGGAGCTTTAACAGCCTTTTGCGTGACTTTAGTCACAAGACGGTCCTGGCACACCTGGAGCATCTTGCATAATTGTGCAAGACAAACAGAATGAAGCCAGACCTTACAGGCAAGCGGGGAGGCCGGCCTCTGGTGGACTTAACACCAAACAGATGCCAAAGTGTATTATTGACCATTACACAAAAGTTATTTTTAGAGAAAAACAAGTTTCTCATACCAAGACCCAGATCTAATCTATGTGTTTCTTGAAGAAGCGCCTCACCATTGCAATTTCAGTTCTTACTGTACACTGTTTGTCTTGCACAATTATGCAAGATGCTCCAGGTGTGCCAGGACCGTCTTGTGACTGGTCAACTTTGGTTATCTTCTGAAACAGCAAGGTCCTGTTGGGGTAGAATTATCTTGAGATGATGGCATACATGGCCTGAAATGAGAAAGATGGATCCAGTGAGGGAAGCATGGAGCTTAGTGGCGGTCGAGGATGGCACTAAAGGGGCCTGTCCGTTTAGGAGAAAGAGGAGGTGGCTGTTTTCCAAGGATCAAGCCTTCAGTGGAAAAGGGAAGGGGGTCAGGATAAGGCGGAGGCAAATGGTTGTGGATGGAGTTCCAAAGGAAAGTGTAAAGATAGCCTAACAAGGGAGTAAGAACTTGATCAGGGAGAGGTGACAGCTGAGCCATGAGACCAGGAGGCAGAATTGGCCATCCATACATGAGCTCAGAAGGGAAGATGAAGAGGGGTTTCCCTGGGAGGGATTTTAATTGCAGGAGAGCCAGTGGCAGAATTTTTACCCAATCAGTGTGAAGCTCTTGGGAGAGTGTGATAAGAATGTTTTTGAGAGCGATTTGTTCATTCAACTTGCCTGAAGATGGGATGGTAAGGGATGTGGAAACACCATGGGCTATTAAGGGCTTTGGTTGGGAGACTTGAGAGGTAGGTTCATGGCCATTATCCGATTGAATCGAGGTTGTAGCTTTGAAACAAAGACGATCTCCTTGAAAAGGAGATCAGAAACTGTCTGTGATCTTTATAACTGGTGGGAAAAGCTTCTACTCATCCTAAGAATTTGTCTGCCAGGACCAAAGGCATCTGAAATGTCTAACTGTGGGCATGTGGGTGAGGTTGAGCTGCCAATCCAACCCAGGGAGGGATTGAGGAGTGGGGAAAGGGAGACGCCGATGCCTGGAGGTGGGATTAGAAGGTTAGCAAAATTTACAAGCAGTGATAGTCTTTATGAAGGCTAGATCCTCAGAGGTAAGCTGTAAATGGGTTTTAATAAAGTGAGGCAGAGCCTGGCTATTAGGGCGAAAGGTTTGGTACAGATAGGATGAAATTGGTTGTTTCTGGGGACGATGAAAATGTGGGTGGCACAATGAGAGTGCCTTGTTTGCTTTTTGTTTGTTTGCTTTGTTTCGTTTTTCATGAAAGGGTTTCTCTGTGTAGCCTTGGCTGTCCTGGACTCACTTTGTAGACCAGGCTGGCCTTGAACTCACAGTGATCCACCTGTCTCTTCCTCACTGAGTACTTCGATCAAAGGCATGTACCACTGCACCCGGCATGAGCGTGCCTTGTGGCATGTGAGAAGAAGAGGGGAGTGGTTGGTGAGCCTGAGTCAGGCAGATGGAGGAAGCAAAAGAAATAGGTTCCCACTTTGGCAAGGAGGTTCCTTTCCAGAAAGGGGACAAGTTGGTACCACCAGGAAGAAATGGGTAAGGGAGATACCCCTAAAGATGCAGTTAAATGGTGGGATTTGGTGATCCCGGTAAGGGTGTTCTCCTGCTCTGACAACAGAAGAAGGAAAGGTGGGTCTCCAGAATTTCTTCAGGACTAAAAAGTGTCTCTGGTGTCTAAAAGGAAGGAGATGGGTCACCCTAATACTGCGATAACTACCCAGGGCTTCCTGTTGGAGATGGCTATGGTCAGGTCAGGGGAGCCTGAGACCCCTCAATTGTCCTTGGCCAGACCCAGGAGGTCAGCTGAAGGGTAATCTGGGCTTGATGTCCTCACACCATGGGGGACATGGGGGCAGTCACACCCCAGTGCGCTTACTGATGGTTCCTTGGACATTGTCTGGACAGGCTCAGGCCCACTGACCCTCCTGACTGCATTTGAAACAGGGATGTGAATGTACTCAGGCTTTGGGAGGCCAGAGAGCCTGGACTTTTGCTTTGGCAGACCTTAGCCATCATCATGTATTTTTGTTTGGGGACTTTTTCATCGTTCCCATGGTACACCTTGAAGGCCGTGGCTAAGACTTCTGCCTGTGGAGTCAGGGCTTGTTTCTCTAGATGTTTAAGTTTGCCCCTAATAATCAGGGAAAGGCAGGGAGAAGAAGCAGGTCATGAAGAGCTGTTTTCCATCTGGGGTCTCAGGATTCAGACTGCTGTATGGTAGGAGGGCCTGGTTGGCACTGCCTGATCCCCAGCTGGGTAGGTGTTACCAGTTTGGTGGATTTCATCTACTTGTGCCCTGTCCTGGTCCCTGAGTTTCCTGTGCTTCTCTGGAGATGATTGTTGGTGAGAATCATATAAACAGCACAGAAGGTGAGGTTTTAAGCTTTGGTGGAAGCTGGATGGAAGAATTGGCCATCTTTTTCCCCCATTCTCTTTTCTGTTTGAGAGAGTTCAGTTAATTAGAAAGGGACTAAGCCATCACCCTGGCAGCCTTATGCAAAGGGAGAAGGCCTGGTTTAGGTCAGATAGGGGGAGGCAAAAGGGGTCCTATGGTGGAGTGGACGTGAGTAGCAGAAGGACTAGGGGCTGGCTGTGGGGTGAAAGTTGGTGCCAATGAGAATTATGGATGAGGGAGTCTCATCCACATGAAAGGGTTGAAAAAGCCATGAGGACCTAGAGTAGCTATGGGATTATGGGCAGCTCCAAGAGGAAAGATGGGAAAAGAGGGCAGGAGGGGATGCAATGGCCTGTTTGGGCCTAAGGAAACTGCATGATTATAGCTCCGAGGTTGGGGGATGGGGTCAGGTGAAGAGGGTCAACTGTAGCCTTAAAGACCATGGCTTGGGATACCTTTACCTCCAAGAGCACCAGAGGGGCGCCGGACATCTGGCATGTGCTTGGACTTGGGGAAATGTTTACACTGACCAAAGGGGAAACTTACCTGATTGCCACTAGTGGATGGAGCAGTCGGTGAGCTGGAAGGTGAGTCTGCTGGGGACAGACTACAGATGAGGGACACAGTCCCAGTGGGGCTCAGACCCTTAGGGGTACACAGGTAGCAGGAGAGCCTGAGCCATCAGTGTAAGGAAGTTTGGATGTGAGATCTGCTGATGGAGGGGAGATGGGAACATGGATGAAAGGCAGGTTGTAGCGGCTACAGAGCTGGGAATTGGATGTGGAGAGGGGAGAGACAGGCAAAGATCCACAGGTGGTCTGTCAGCTTCCTTGCCTGTAGACCCCTTGTCTTCTTAAAAATCCTAATGAGTTTCCCCACTTCCCTTTTTTCTGTTTCGTTTGTTTGTTGGTTTCAGCTTGTTTTTCCTTTTCTCAGGCAGAGTCTCACAGTTTAGTCCAACCTGGCCTGGAGTTCGTGATCCGTTACCTCTGGCTCCTTGTCGCTGGGATTGCAGTTGCGTGCTTCTACCAGCACAGACTTTTTACCCCTTTCTTTTTTAAGAGAGGCAGGAGGCGGTGGCACAGGACTTTAACCCTGGCACTTGCTGAGTTTGAGGCCGCCCAGCTCTACAGGGCCAGGCCAGGGCCAGGCCAGCTTTCTTAAAGTATGGCAGATGTTATGTGTTTGTGCAGCATAGTTTTTAATCCCTCAAGATTTGGTTTGTTGTAGCATTCGAATCCAGTGGGAAAGACCAAAGACCTAAGATTGAATTCAATTTTAGATTAAATGAATTTATTTCCATTGTCAGAAGGACAGCACCCATAGAGCCAGACACGGTACTATGCAGACTGGGTGGTAATGTGTGGTTTTAAAGGCAGACCTCAGAGAGGTGTGCAGTACAACTGTCCTTGGAATCCACAGCTGGGCAGGAAACTTTAGTTCCTTCAGTTGTTTTTTTCTTTCACACTACATAGTAATTAAGAAGATCATTTCATCCTCTAGCCACAGTGATAAGCAGGTTCTACAGAAGCAAAGGCAGCTGTTAATACCTCACAGCCCATCATCCTATTCTTATCCCACCTGCAGACCACTAGGATCTCCCAGGCATCCCAGAGCAGAAGATCACCAGCCCTTAAGGGATGCCTGGCTCCATATTAAGTTTCCTTAGCCATCACAGAGGACCTGCATAAATTATTACACTAATGGCTGAGATCAAGCTGTTCATTTTCAAGCCATCAATAACACAGCGCCATCAGGTTAGGGCTAACTGTCACATCCCCACTGAACAGAGTGTATTCCCTGTAGTAATCCAAGAGGCACATAAAATTACCTCACTATAGTTTGTTATAATCTCATTAAGCAGACATGTCTTCACATTTGCAACTGTTCTACTGTAAGAGTGTTGTCTTATATAAACTTTCCTTATTGCTGATCTCCTTGCTTCTGTTTAGCTTCTCAGAAAATAATTCAGAATCTGGCTGTTCACATAATGGATTTTAAGTTACAGGAAAATGTGTGTATGTGTTACCACAAAAAAAAACTATTCTTCCTTCCTTCTTTTCTTTCAGATATGGAGAAATGTTTTGAAGCTGAAAATATATCTTCAGAGAATCATATTCATAATAGAAATTTACCCAAACAGAGCATAAGTAAAACTTTTGACCTCCAGGGCTCCACTTTTAGTGATGGCCCCAAAGATAGTACATTAAAGGGACTACAAGGTTGTCAAGAAGGAGATGCTAATCAAAAGATTAGTTACAAGGAACAAATGCCTACTCACACCTGCCGGACTCTTACTCACACTATAGAAAAAGCACATGAATGTAAAGAGTGTGGGAAGTACTTTGGGTATAGTTCAGCCCTTACTCAGCATCAGAGTGTTCATACTGGAGAGAAGCCCTATAAATGTAAGGAATGTGGGAAGACCTTCAGACTCCACAAACAGCTTTCAAGACATCAGAAATCTCACAGTGGTGAGAAACCTTTCAAATGTGATGAATGTGGAAAGGCTTTTTATCTTCCCACCCTGCTAAAGTGTCATAAAACCGTTCATACAGCTGAAAAACCCTTTGAGTGTGAGGACTGTGGGAAGTCCTTCAAGCGACTCTCCCACCTTGTTGGACACAGGACTGTTCATGCCAATGTGAAACCATATGAATGTAATGAGTGTGGGAAAGCCTTTAATCGTCGCTCAAACCTTGTGAAACATCAGAAAATTCATTCTGGTGAGAGACCCTTTCAGTGTAAGAAATGTGGAAAGGTCTTCACTGTTCTGGCACAGCTTACTCAACACCAGAACATTCATACTTCAGAGAAATTCGAATGTAAGCAATGTGGGAAGATATTTAGTAGTGGCTTTTACCTTATACGACACGAGAGTATTCATACAGGTGAGAAACCTTTTGAATGTAATGTATGTGGGAAGGCTTTTAGGCTTCAGGTATACCTTAATGAGCATCAGAAAACTCACACTGATGAGAAACCGTTCAAGTGTAAGTTCTGTGAGTCAGCTTTCAGACGGAAGTATCAGCTTAGTGAACATCAGAAAATTCATTCTAATGTGAAACCCTATGAGTGCAAGGATTGTGGGAAATTCTTTCGTAGACGGTCAAATTTTACTGAGCATCAGACTATTCACACTGGAAAAAAACCTTTTGAGTGTAAAGAATGTGGGAAGCTCTTTAGACTTAATATACATCTCCTTCGACATCAGAGTTTTCATAATGGTGAGAGACCTTTTGAGTGTAAAGAATGTGGGAAGGCTTTTCATTTTTCCAGCCAGCTTAATTACCATAAAACAATTCATACAGATGAAACACCTTTTGAATGTAAGGAATGTGGGAAGTCTTTCAAGCGTGCCTGCAGCCTTTTGGAACACAGGATTATTCATGCTGGTGTGAAACCATATGAGTGTAGTCAGTGTGGGAAAGCCTTTAATCGTCGCTCAAACCTTGTGAAACATCAGAAAATTCATTCTGGTGAGAGACCCTTTCAGTGTGAGGAATGTGGAAAGGGCTTTACTGTTCTAGCTCAGCTCACTCGTCACCAGAGTATTCATACTGGAGAGAAATCATTTGAGTGTGAGCAGTGTGGGTCAGCCTTCAGACTTCAGTACCAGCTTACCCAACATCAGAGGATTCATACTGATGTAAAACCATATCAATGCAAGGAATGTGGAAAGGGCTTTGTTCGTGGTACAGCTCTTAGAATCCATGGGAGAGTCCATACTGGCAAGAGGCCCTTTTAGTGTAAAGAATGTGGAGAAGCTTTTCAGTATCACTACCAGTTTCTTGGATATTTTAGAATACATACTGGCAAGAATCCTTATGAATGTAAAGAATGTGGGAAGTACTTTACTCGTGGTGGAGACCTTAAAGTACATCAAAGAATTCACACTGGTGAGAAACCTTTCCAGTGTTAAGAATGTGGGAAGACCTTTAATTTAAAACAAAACTTGGTTTGACATGCTAAAATTCGTATTAATAAGCTTTATGATGTAAGGAATCTGGAAAGGCCTGTAGTAATTCTAAGCTACCTGTATGTCAGAGAATTCATTCTTACAAGAAAATCTTAATCCCATTAGTGGAGAATAAGACCATTACGACAACTTAAAGCCAATTTCAAAGGAAGCTTTAAGTAAATACTGGCCAGGTGATGGACTCTGGCCAGGTCCAGGTCTGGGTTTCCAGAAAATAACTATGAGTCATGCCTTGCAAAGGCTTAGAAGGGTAACCCCACAAGGCTACAGTATTTCCCATCAGGTATAATCAAGTGGCAAGCATATATCCTATTTCCTGTCTATGTACCTCCCACTTACATATCAAGTCAGGGGAAATGTATACTCTGATGTGTTTCCTGTTCATGTACCTCCTCTCCCACCTGCAACTAAGCACATCTGGGGTGCACATCTGGGTCAAACAAACTTGTTCAGGGGAATGAAAATTGTGACTTTTATCTCCCATAAGCAATAGCCTCCAGCATTTCAGGAAGTATTTATCCTTGGGCAATGGGCTTAACAAACCTGTTAGAGGCATTTTTATTTAATAGATCTTTTAGGCACAGTAATTAAAATTTGAAAAGTAACTTTGGTTTGCACAAAACTTTGTGAACAAACGAACGTAATAAATGTGGGAAAATGTTTAGATTTAGTTCAGCTTTTATTACACAGAGGAGAATTCATATTGATATGAAATCCTATCACTGTAAAGAATGTGGAAAAACCTTCAGTTGGAGCACAGGCCTTTAACATAAAAGAATCCATGCTGGTGTCAAACACTATGTGTGCAAGGAATGTGGGAACATTATGGAATTAGCTCAGCTCTTAAAGAGTCCATATAGGTCTAAATCCTATAAATGTAAGAAATGTGGGAAAGCTTTTATTGTAAATGGTGAGCTTATACAACATTAGAAAATCCATGATCCTCAGGAGTCCTATGCATGTAAGGAAGGTGGACAAGCCTTTGTATGGAAATTTTACTCATCATCAGAACTCATATTGGCAAGAGTGTGACATAAAGGGATGTGAGAAAAACTTTATTCTGCCGTAGGATTTGGTCAGTGTCAGAATACTCATATACTTCTTGATGCCAAGAAACCATTTGGGAATGAGAATGTGGGTAGTGTTATTCAGAGATGATACTTTTTCAAGAATATCTTTGAATATCAGAAATAAAGCATAGCCATCATGTTCTTGGTTTACTCTCATCTTCATTTTGTAAACTTAAAATACTAGTCAGTCAATTTAGGAATAGCAAGTTATTGGAACCGGGATTATCTGAGGCACCTTCCTTGTCATCATTAACTTCTCATGGCTCCTGTGATATTAGACTGGATGTTTATTTTCTTTCTGCCTAATTTGTTAATGGTGGACACAGTACCAGCCAAAATTGTGGAAACAGTGTTATAGTAGATATAGGATCCTTGAGAGTATTTGGTTCATGACTATAGCTTTTACAGTATTTTTGCTTTCATTGGCATTACTGTAACTAGTATGAAAAGCAAATTGTATTGCAGGTAGTTAAGAAAAGCCTCAAGCATTCCTCCAATATTGAATTTCAAATAACTTCATTCTGAATAAATTCTGATGGATGAAAACTATACAAAAGCATTTTCATTGAGAATCCATTCCTTAAGCTTTTCTGCAGAGATATCAAAAGCACAGCTGTTAGTGAATATGTACTTTTTACAGGGGTTAAACACACAAAACGTTCAAAAGGTAAAGCCCTGTATGTCTCTGCCCAGACATTAAGAAAAAGTACATTTGTGACAGGGCAAGCCTATGCACAGTCTCCTCCATCTCATATTTTTGCTGACACCATTTCAGGTTTGACTAGGAAATTGATTTCTGATGGAAAATCTCAGGGAGAAATTACCCAGTTCTACTCTGTGAACTGGAGGCCAAGATGCCCCTGCTAATTTATCTTGGCTTCTGTTAAACTGCCTGGGTGTGCAGACCTCCCTCTTCATGTAACTGCTTATCTTGGCTTCTGTTAAACTGCCTGCTTTGGCAAAAACTCCACCTGCAGCTGTTGAGCAAGATGACAGAATGTCATTTTTGCTTTTAATAGCCCCTTGCTCTAAATGCTTGGAGCTACACTTGATTGTGACCCCAGCCATCTGAAATAAAGATTTTCAGTTGGCCAAAACTGTGTGCGAGTGATCTGCTCTGGTGGGCTCACCATAAAACATTAACAAAAATAGACAAAATTGAAACCACTTACAAAAATACATGTATGAAAATTTTCGTATATATGGAAAAAGTGGAAGAATCAAGAATATCCTCTGGATTCGATTGTCAACAATTTAGTATGTTGACTATTTTTGGCTATATGTAAGTATTGAGTTATAACATTAAGGTTATGTTTTAGGGAGCTGGGGGG